AAAAAAAGGTATATTCACTGGATTTTATTTTCGCTGAATCATTCCTTCAGTGAAAACTAGCGAAAAATAATTCCAATGCGAAAATAAGTTTTTTAAAGTATGTCAAAACTGTACTGTTTCACGCTGTGTTTACTCAATTGGTAAAGTTAATTTTGATTTAGTATTGCAAAATTGGCCCACATCAAAACACGAATTAACTGTACTTCACCATCCAGCTAACAGATAATTGAGTACCATGCCTGTGGCTTCCATATCAGAGTTGTTAGTATCCAGCTGACCACTACTGCACCCCATTAATAATGACACACTGTTACATTGTAACCGCAAGATATCATCACCACTCAAATATTGACCACCGTTACCATGACCACAGTAACTATGGAAACAAATGAAACACACAGATCCTTTCAGTATTAGTGTCTGTATGGTGCGCTTCAACCAAGGATAGAACAGAATGATGGCTAATGCTATTTTCATTAGCCATTTGCCTAGCCACCTGGTAAACATGAAGACAACAGGTCCAATGAGTTTGCTTTAGTGCCCTTAGATTGTGGCTTGACGACTGAGCTGTATTTTATCAGGCATCGCCGAGCAGGTTCGATTTGTAGACTTATGGATAACGCAACGTCTCGTAGTATGTAACTGTCTAACACCGTTTATTGTCAACTGAATAAAGTTTAGAACAATACAACAACACTACACTCGTGAGCTTGTGAAAACACCAAAAGAAGAACGTAATCGAACAGTGATAAAGTTGGCACACTGAAACTGATATGCAGCTTCTTTCTGGTCTCTGATTGGTCATATTTATTGGTAATATTTTGCGTTCCGCTGCATCCAGCGACATAGATATTACCTGAAAATGGACACCCTCTCAAATGTGAAATTCAAGCCCTGACCTAACACTATTATTCAAATTCATGTAGCAAATTGAAATAGTGATCCAACATGCATGAATATATAATGATTCTCTTCTGTTTCGAATGACTATGGGACGCAGTTATTTAAAACAAGGCAGACTCCTGACGAATCATCTTTGTTTTTGTCCTGCAAAACCATAGTAAATGTAACGCATCACTTACATAAATAAATCATTGTTCAAGAGAGCTGCTTTATATTCATCGCTGGTTGGTATCCGTCCTGATATTCCGCTCCATCCTTCAACTCTGAAATATACATTTAATATCAAGATGTTAGTGTCCAGTAATGGTTCAGTAAGTCAGTATTCAGGCCATACTACCATAATGCAATATTCAAATTCATTTTGAATGCAGGAATAGTATAATAACATTTCCTGTATTGTTAGTAGGTAGTATATCTCGAATGAAGACTAAGGGAAAATATCTCAGTAGCAACAGAACATGGGATTTAAAATTGAACTATCATCAAAACTGCACATGTGCCTGCTTTCATCCTGCACACTATGTATTACATCACACATACTTAACACTACATCATGCACACTATGTATTACATCACACATACTTAACACTACATCATGCACACTATGTATTACATCACACATACTTAACACTACATCATGCACACTATGTATTACATCACACATACTTAACACTACATCATGCACACTATGTATTACATTACACATACTTAACACTACATCATGCACACTATGTATTACATCACACATACTTAACACTACATCATGCACACTATGTATTACATTACACATACTTAACACTACATCATGCACACTATGTATTACATTCACACTACTTAACACTACATCATGCACACGAAGTATTACATCACACATACTTAACACTACATCATGCACACACTATGCACTACATCACGCACACCTAGCACTATTTGTAGTTAAAAACAAACACTGTTCCCTGTCATAACTGACACAAAAATCATGAGCATAACTATGAGCAAGCATGGCACATGATTTTGACAATTGTTTACCATTTTTCATTAAAATGCACAACTGGTTCCATTATTGTGAGTCCTTCCTGTGTATATGCATAGCTCTAATGACAGTGCCGTTTTATGTACTGTAGAATACCTTATTTTCGCTTGGAATTTATTTTAGCTTTATTCCAGCGAATATACAATTTTTCCTATATATTACATTAAACTTGTCAAAAATCATGTGGCCATGCACTCTTAATATATAAAACCACTACCCGATTGACGACTTACTTTTTAAACCAATCCTCAAATGCCTTCTGTGTATTAGCAAGATCACCACTTGGATTGACAACATACGATGTCTTGCTGGGATTGACACCATGTGACAATACAGAGTGTTCATTGGATCGTTCTTGTAGATGTGACAGTATGAACTGTATTGATGGCATCCTTGATATTGACTGTTTACTTGCATTTATTATTGATAGACTTTCCCATGGTAACTGTTGTACATGCTGGACAAAGAAAACAATTTGATTTATTAATAACAGATTAATAAATAAAAATGAATATTCATTGCAGTATTGTAGCCATAGCTTTGGATATAAACATGACATACTCTAGTACAAGCTATACATAATAGCG